CTCCCCCCTCCCGCCAAACCGACCCTCTCACAAAACAATGAAGCTATACCCATACTCCAATACTTCAAAACCATATATGTAATATCTTGTTGTTTTATCTCCCCAGGGCGACCCAGGTCCATCGGTGAGTTGATTATTGAACAATTGTTCGCCAAGGCGAAGTGATTATTGGTTTATATTTACCGAGCCGCGATTCTTCGCTCGACCAATCACAGCGCGCGAACTGACTCTATATTCAAGTCCAAAAATTATGCTAAAAACCGATACAGTTTAAATTTAGCTAGTTATAATTTTTTCCCTGCTTCTTAAGTACCTTAATACTAGATCTTTTAATCACACATTCCCGAGTCAGCAATCTTAAAAATAATATTTCTTTGCATTGTCGCTTGGAGATAACAAAATTTCTTTTTTCTTTTTTTGTTTGTGCCTAGTGGATAAGCAGTGACTTTGACTTAATGTCTTCCCATTTAAGACCACATGTCATTCCCTAGAGTATCATTTCTTTGCTTAAGGTTTGCGCTCGGTTGCACATGAGAAGACACATGAACATGGATGCAAAGAATCTTATTCTCCAAGGAAAGACACGTGGTCTGAAATGGGAAAACATTACGCCCGAGCCGAGGAGGTCTATTCCGTACTTGACTGTTCAGTTTGCAGTGCTGTTTCTCAGTTATACAAAATCTGTTTTAAATGCGTAGAAATAAAACCTTCCTTGAATTAATTTCTGGGTCGATCAAAGTCAAGGCGCGACTAACTCACAGATTTAATTAGAATTTAGCGTGTTGAGTTTTGCGGAGGGATGAAAACCGGAGAACCCGGAAAAAAATCCTCGCATCAAATAAAAGACTGACCTTACAAATTCTACTCAAATGTGATGATAAGTTTGAGAATCGAGCCTGGAGAGAAGAGAGGCGAGTGCTTTACCACTACGACGCCCTTCCGTTGCTCACATTGTAGATCATTGTTAGATCAAAGGTCAAACTGATATAATTTTTTTCTTCTCGTTCATTTTAGGGACCTCCTGGACCACCGGTAAGTAACATGAAAATTCTTCCTTTTCTCTTAGAAAATTAATTTATTGTAATACTTAATATCACGTGTTCAAAATCTTGTGGATTAATACCAAATTATCTCTTATTTTTATCTCAGGGACCTCCTGGAGATGTCGTAAGTATTCCGATATTTTAAAATCATTATAAAAATATTATTGTTAATAAAATAATAATGATATCTTACAAATTATTCATCATTCATTATTTCATCTTGTTAAAACATAGTGTAAAACAGTAATTAAGACGCCTTTTTTTTCCTTGAGAATATTCAGACTTTCTCACTTAAATCAGATATCTTTTACAATCGAATCCACCTCTAAAACGTTTTGTTGCGTAATTTTTACCTGGTTACACCGGAAATACGTCACAACCTTTCTGACGTCATTACTACCGTTCGACCAATCACAGCGCGCATTATATTTAATTGATTATTTTTATTTTCTTTTATCTTGTAGAGCCATTTACTCGACGCGTACCTTGGCCCCAACACCGGCACTGACAAAGGAGAGACCAGGAAAAAACGAGCACTGGCCGAAGACCCGACCGATAGTGAGATGCTTGACTCGATCAAAGCCTTACGTACGCAAATTGAAGAGATCAGAAGACCACGCGGAAACTCACAAGGAAATCCTGCAAGAACGTGTAAAGATCTTAAAATGTGTAATCGAGCTGAGAAAGATGGTAAGAACATAGTAGAAACGGTCCAGCTGATCTGGTAGGGGTTGGGGTGGGGGAGGGGCTGTAGGGACCAAGCCCCCACTTTTTCTGAAAATTAGAACATTGGTCAAACAAGGTCAAACAACGGATGATGTTTTGGCCATCCCCCCTCTTTTGAATCCTAAAAACAGTTTTTGAGCTTTTAAAAATATTAAAATTATATTCATATATTTTTGATATTTTTAAAAGCTCAAAAAGTAATTGATGTATAGGGTTTTATTTATTTTCACGTGATTTTGTTTCCAGGGGAATACTGGATCGATCCTAACCATGGCTGCACCGAAGACGCTGTGAGAGTTTTCTGCAACTTCACAGCCGGTGGAGAGACCTGCATCTATCCTGACACTTTGACTCGAACGGTAAAGTACACCTTGAAATCTTTACCTGACCTGGGAAGTTATTTGTCACACAAGGTCTAAGAAAAGGCAGTAAACACAGGACTACATAAATTACAGCTATTTAGTGTTTTGTGGAAGGGGGTTTCTGTGTATTTGCTCATGTGTCTCTCCTGTCATGGCTAACGTGCAAATTTTTTTTCAGAGTGTACGAAAGCACTGGAAGAAGGTTGATGGAGCAGAGTGGTTCAGTGAATATGACGGTGGATATGAGGTGCGATATATATGACTTGTGTCGTATCTTTCTTCTTTTGGTGTTGTTCACGATATCATGACATCATCACCATCACCACCATTTCACCACCACCATCATCATCATCATCATCACAGTCATCATCATCA